GAAGAGAAGTCCATCACAGTAGGAGACCTTCCCATGGCTACTACCCAGAAGCAGAAGGCGGCCAGGCATCTCTGTGGGAAGAGGGGAACTGGAAAGGAAGCTGACGTGCCTAAATTAGGTCCCTGTGTAGCCAGGCTGGGAGTCTCAGAGCACTCAGAAGGGCAGCAGTAGCTTGGGGTCTTGCAGAGCTACAGGGTTTAACTTACCTACAATTAGCAGATGTTGGGCACAGTTTCACGGGATATGAAAATCAGGAACAAGGTAAATGACTAAAACTCTCTTACTGGGGCTATGTTTTAAAAAACTCAGTGTATAAAAATTTGAGTTTAGCACCAGGAGGCTTTTGAGCTAACGGGGGATACCAGCCAGCCAATACACCAGAGCCATCTTTGGCTCACTGACAGAACATAAATAGAATTGGTTACCCCAAAGATACAGTGTTTCACCATGGTCTTTTCTAAAACAGAGGGTTTAAAAGAATTATTCAAACTCATAATTTACTAGATGATGTTTTCCAGCAAGTGATAAAATCAATTTAAAGAATAAAAGAATATTTTATCTAAGTGACTTAGATTTTGATAAGTTTCATGCAATAACTAATTTACTGCTTAGGAGATCATAAGAATATACTGAAAGCTCAGAATGTTTCTGAGCTAAGAGGAATTATAGGTTATTATACTGCTGATACACCTAACCATATAGCTAATGATGGATGGAGATATGGCCCTTATTTATGTAATAAAATTCAAAAGGAATTTTAAATGCTACTAGGAAGTTAGGTTAGACCCAGAAAATATTGAGAATATAAGAAGAAAAAATACCTCTCCTTTTTCAAATTCGATGAACTGATGGGATAGTCTCATGTCTAATATACATATATTCAATAAGTACATACACATAAAATATCAAATGAAGAAATACACTATGATGAAATCAAATCATCCTGATGCAATGAGATTAGATTATATATGTAACTTGTCATTACAGGATGATATTTTCAACTCAGTTGAAAGTTAATAAAGATATATAAAAACCAATTCTGATATTAAATAAAGCCACATGCTCAGTACAAAGGCCTATCTCCTTTCTTACAGCAAATGAAACAAGCCTTGAATATATGGGTGATGAATGTAAAATGTAGGAAGACACATGAATATAACATCTGAATTAGAAAATATGCAAAAAAGAGGGACTTCCCTGGTGGCGCAGTGGTTAAGAATCCGCCTGCCAATGCAGGAAACACGGGTTCAAGCCCTGGTCCAGGAAGATCCCACATGCTGCTGAGCAACTAAGCCCGTGCGCCACAACTACTGAGCCTGTGCTCTAGAGCCCATGAGCCACAACTACTGAGCCCACGTGCTGCAACTACTGAAGCCCATGTGCCTAGAGCCCGTGCTCCACAACAAGAGAAGCCACTGCAATGAGAAGCCCGCGCACTGCAACGAAGACCCAACACAGCCAAAAATAAATAAAAATAAATTTAACAAAAAAAAGAAAATACGCAAAAAGGAAAAATATAGAAATTGGAAATGTATGAAGGCAAGCATCAATGTTCACATATTTAAAAACACCATCATGCTGCTGCTTCTAAAACTGATGCACAGATTTTGCTTAGTGCCATATTAACCAATTGTAATGTGGTCTTGATCATTTAATTAACAATAAGTAACAGTGGGGTCCTGTGAATGAGGTTTTAGTAAGCTGAAATCATTCAAAATTATTTAAGATCGTCACAGATCATGAGAAATTATAAAACACAGCAAGTCTCTCAACTGAAAAGGAGACAAGCTAACAAGTATATTCTTAAAACATTATTAGTGACCTTGCTTTTAATAAAGACAGTAAAGTAAAATTATAATAAATCCTGCTTTGGGTATATATGAAATATTTAAGTTTAAAATAACGTAAGTTTTATTACACTTACTTGTCAGGTTCTCCATAGTTTCCAGCTACTTCAACGCTGATGCAAAACTTGAGCCATTAAGAATTAGTGAAAGCATGCATGCACTGGAGTGCGTTTTCGCTTTTTACCTGGAGTTCTGGTTCCAACATGACTCGGAAAGCGGGTCCTCAGCTCATTCTCCTCGAAGGTCCCGATATTGAGTATTGAGTGTGTTCGTCCCACTCAAGGGAATCTCCCCTTCCTCTGAGCTCGTGCTGGGATTTCTCCCCAGAAACATCCTCGAATCTGTATAGAGACAAGGAAACAAGCCACTGCAGCTCTGATTTAGAGTCGTCAAGCCCTCAACCAACGGATACTTCAGTCAATAAGCCTTGTTCAAACATTCTTAAAGAAACTAAAGAGTAAAACACCGGGAACAGCCCGGAAAACGCAAGGGTCCCGGGGAAGCCGCACAAACCTCCCCGCTCAGCGCTCAGCCAGCTGAGGAAGCTTCCTACTCACGGCGGCTGGTCCAGAGCCTCCGCAGCCGCTCCCTCACACACAGAACTTTTGGAAAAGGAGCTGCGGTTCTCACTGCGGAAGCAGCGCCTGAGGCCGTACGGCGGGAACCCGGCCCGCCCTGCCCTGCCCTGAGGCGCCTTTGGTCGGAGAAGACGCGTGCGCCCGACCCCTGCCGGCCTTCGCTGCGCACTGCATGGAGGGAAACCGCCCCGTGCCCGTTAGCCGTGACCGCGCGCCCCCTCCTGGCCATTCTGGGAACGTCCTGGGAAATTCTCAGCGAGGTGGTCACTCAGCTGGCGCACCGCTCCAGCCAAGACTTTCCTCTACCGGGCCGTGTCTTACCCACAGGGGCTGGAAAACAAAGAAATCTTTGGGTTTTTTGTGTTGAATGAAACGTAGAATTTATGCATGTATTTGCATAATTTGTAATGCTGTAAGCACTGGCCGCATAAATACAGACTACTACTTACACACGCTAAACAGCAGATGATTGTGTTTAACCATGAAAATATTTCGGTGAAACAAAATTTCCACATTCTTTACACTAGTTTTCCATTTCGCTTTCATCTTCTTCATTTTTAAAAAAGCATTTCTGGTCATTTTTAAATATGTGAAATTCAGTTTATACCAGACAATTTCTCTAGCATCACCATCTTGATTGTGAGAGCTTATTTTAAAAGTTGCCATTTGGTGACATACATATGACAGGGTCAGAATGCAAACCTAGAGGAAGCTACATACCTGTTGTTAACTTACTGCGTGTATCCTTGGCTGATGTTTTCCATGAAAAGTGCTTTAGAGATGGCAGATGGATGAAATAACTTCCATCAGTCCCACAAGTAACCAATTTTATTACCTTCAAATAATAACTTGCATCACTTCACAACCAGAGGAAGACTTGGTGAAGCAAGAATTTGCTGCTTTGACGAAAGAGAAGGCTGTGGTTTTCAAACTGACCACCTACCATCCCCAGATTAACAGTGGGCATGAGGATAGCAACCCAATACCCTGGTGCATGTTGCTGGTGTCAGAGAGAGCAGTATGGACCTTATTCTAAAATAATTTTGGTTGTGGGTCTCAACCAGTCTGTAGGCTCCCTCAAGGAGCACTGGAAAGGCTTCCCTGGTGGTGTAGTGGTTGAGAGTCCGCCTGTCGATGCAGGGGACACGGGTTTGTGCCCCGGTCTGGGAAGATCCCACATGCAGCGGAGCGGCTGGGCCCGTGAGCCATGGCTGCTGAGCCTGCGCGTCTGGAGCCTGCACTCCGCAACGGAGAGGCCACAACAAAGAAACTGAAATTACATTTGAAAGCCATTAGACTTCCAGATGACACAAGCATCTAAGAGAAAGGTTAATCACACTGTAGAAGTGTATGTGGTATCATTTTCCTTTTTCTAATTGTTTAAATTGAATTTTATACCAATGTTTTATACCAATTGATTAATTGGTTGTTAGCTTGAGGTGGCTGAATGTTGTTTGGGGAGTTTGTTGCAATGGTTTTGTAAAAAGTGTTTCAGACTCTGCTGAAATGTTGCTGAAATGCATGGTGCTCGTAACAGTTCAACAATCCGTGGTTGCTCATTCTTGCCTTATACTCTCCCTCTGAAGCTGGTTAGCATTGAAGGTGGTATGGAAACCTTCATGTGTGTTCAATTCTTTGTTTCTTCTCCTTCCCTCCCCTCCCCCAGGCCCCACCCCTCACCTTCCTTCACTCCCTCAACCTCTTTTGTTCAGTTTGTATAACTTGAAGCTAATTTGTATTACTGGATATCTGGAGCCAGAGATACAGTATCTGTATTGTTCTTACCAAAACACGGCATAGATTAACATTAAACTTAAGTAAAACAAACCTAAATTTAAAAAAAAAAGAAGATTGTGATATTAAAAGAAGAGAACATGCATAATTAATATGTAATGAAGGCAGTAAACCAGCTACTGAATTGGAAATGCCATGGTCTTTGTGTAGGGTGACAGCCAACCTGCTTATCACTAAGTATAAGACATCTGTGCTGTGACACTGGGGAGTAGGAAATTTTCTCACAACGAATCAGGAAAGAATGATTCCACACAGAAGCTTGAGGAACCCAATGGTCTAAAACCAAGAAAGTACTTGGTCTATTAGGCTATGATCTATAAAATATTTAATAAATTCCAAATCGAATAAAACAATTACCAAGTCCTGATTTCTACGTCTATTGCCCCCTCATAGAAGCGATGCTGCCCTTTTCTGTTCTCCATTTGCATCTGCATTTTCCTCCATCTCCTCACCTGCAACACTGGATTAATCTCACTAGCTGATTCATCTACCTCTTCTGCTAGACAGGGAGCTTCTGTTTTCTTACTTGTCTCCATCGCCTGTGTTCTCCACATGCCTAACCACACTGCAGTCCTTACTTGGTTAATTCATGAGTTATCTCCTTACAGGAAGCTGGTAATTGATGAGAAAAGCCCTTGCTTACTTGTCCTCTTAATACACAGCCTTATGGAAGGTGCACCAGATCAGAGTATATGTTGGGTAGGACATAATTCCTTACTGAGATTTTGGCTACAATGAGAATCACAGCAATCTGGGCAGAGCACAAGTGAAGATCAGAGTCATGGACATGACCTGGTTTGGACAGGAAGATCCAGGCCCTGGAGATGGAAAAGAGGTAGAAAACTATACATCCTCCAGGAATGATGATGTTCTCATTTCAGTAGAAAGGGGAAATTCCTATCATATGTGATTGCATTGCCAATTGTCATAATACCACTTTCTTTTCCTCAGACCTCTCCTTCTGGGGATTGGCAGAGCAATGAGCAGGCAAAGCTTGGGGGTGGGGTTGAAGGAGCCAAAAGAATACAGATTCTCCGAAATTCCCGAGACATTTGCATTATTCAAAATCTCCAGCCCACCAACAGAGAGGGTCCTGGTTCAGACTGCACGCTCATGCAGAGAGCTCTGAACATCTCAAGTGTAGCACTCTCCCCCCGAGGGAAAACTACAGAAGAAGAGATGCGTATCTGCGTTGTACAGATGAGACTTGTAGTGCCATATAAATAAATGACTTTGTGTTTTTCTAATTATTTATATAATTTTTTCCTTTTTTCCAACATTTTTTTCTGATTTTTTTGTTTGGGATATTGTCTATTAACATGTATTCAAGCTTACAAATTAAGTCTTCTAAGGGTCCAGCCTCTACCAAAGTTGTCTTTTGAGTTCTTCAGCTCAGCTTTAATTTAGGAGCTCTGCTCTCAAATGTCCAATTTCTTTTTTAATACATTGACATTCTGTATGAAAATTCTCTATTTTTCATTTCTAATAGTTTTATTTTTTTAACTTTTATAATATTTGTTTTGAATTCTATTTATTCTATCTCCAACATGTCAATATATGTGAGTCTTCTGTTTTTCTTTTTATTTTGCTCTTTTCTATTGATCATAGTCTCTGCACTTTGCACAGGATTATATTTTTGATTGTGTGTCAGACATTGTGCTCTGCCCGTCCCTGAGAGAAAAAGATCAAAGATACACAGGCTGGTTGGTGGCAGGATAATTGACATGCAAGCACAGGTGGGTAAGGATTTCCCTGGTTTTGTGAAATCAGAACTTCATTTTTTTTAGTGGATAGCTTGCTACTCTTCTCTCTACCCCATGGCTGGGATCTCCTTTAAAGCATGCATCAATCCCAACCATGTTCTACCCACAAGTAGAAACTTAAGTTGATGTCTTCCTAAGAAAGTTGGTCCTTCCATCTTTCAGGCAGGTAGGTCCCCCTTCACCTCTTTCCTATCAGCAGTTGAGGTGCATTGAGGGTGGGTTTCAGCTCCTTTGCAGTCAGCCCACTCCTGGTTTCCACTCCTGTGTATTGGAGACACTCCCTGTATTTGGATTTGTCTCCTGTGATTTCTGGGACTGTAGGCAGTTTGCATGGCCTTTTTGCCCTGATCTCCAGCTCCTGGGCCAGAATTAATGTCCTGAGGGGAAACCCAGTAATGTGTTAGGGGCTCTTCTAGATTCCACCCCATCCCTCCAATCAACATCAAACTCCCTGCTGGTTTCATTTTCTTCTAGTAGCCTCCTTCTGCCTAGGCAAAGCCTGATCCCCAGTGAACAAAGAAAATTCCCCAACTATGAGAAAGGCCTGGTGACTTCATTTCCCAGAGCATTAGCTCTTCTCCCTCTGAAGTTGTAGTCCATCTGGTCCTCTTTTCTTCCACAAAGAAAAAAACCTCTCAAGTTCTAAAACCTATGAATTTAAACCTATGAGACCGCATTACATCTGTAGATTGCTTTGGGTAGTTTAACAATATTAATTCTTCCAATCCAAGAACATCTTTCCTTTTTTTTTTTGAATCATCTCAATTTCCTTTATTAATGTTTTATAGTTCTCAGCATGTAAGTTTTTCACCTTCTTGGTCAGGTTTATTCCTAAGTGTTTTATACTTTTTGATGTGATTGTTAAAAGTTTTATTTTTTTACATTCCCTTTCTGCTCTTTCATTGTTAGTGTAAAGAAATGCAACTGATTTCTGCATGTTAATCTTGTATCCTGCTACCTTGCTGATTTCATTTATCAGTTCTAGTAGTTTCTGTGTGGAGTCTTTAGGGTTTTCTATAAATAGTGTCACATCATCTGCATGTAATGACAATTTTACCTCTTCCCTTCCATTTTGGATAACTTTTATTTCTTTTTCTTGTCTGGTTGTTGTGGCTAGGACTTCCAATACTACGTTGAATAGAAGTAGTGACAGTGGGCATCCTTGTCTTGTTCCAGATTTTGGCAGGAAGACTTTCAGCTCTTCACCATTGAGTATTATATTGGCTGTGCGTTTGTCATAAATAGTTTTTATTCTATTGAGATATGTTCCCTCTATACCCATGATAAGAGTTTTTATCATGAATGGATACTGAATTTTGTCAAGTGCTTTTTCTGCATCTATTAAGATGATCATGTGGTTTTTGTCTTTTGTTGATGCGGTGTATCACACTGATGTGTTTATGCTGAGCCATCCATGTGAATTTGGGATGAATTCCATTTGGCCATGGCGTATGATCTTTTTTATGTGTTGTTGGATTTGGTTTGCTAGTATTTTGTTGAGAATTTTTGTATCTATATTCATCAGGGATATTGGCCTGTAATTTTCTTCCTTGGTGGTATCTTTGTCTGGTTTTGGTATCAGGGTGATGGTGGCTTCATAGAATGTCTTTGGGAGTGTTCCCTCCTCTTCAGTCTTTTGGAAGAGTTTGAGAGGGATCAGTAAAAGTCCTTCTTTGCATGTCTGGAAGAATTCACCTGTGAAGCCATCTGGCCCTGGGCTTCTGTTTGTAGGAAGTTTTTTTTTTTATTATAGATTCCACTCCACTTCTAGTGATTGGTCTGTTCAAATTATCTATTTCTTCTCGATTCCATTTTGGTGGGCTCTATGTTTCTGGAAAGTTGTCCATTTCTTCTAGGTTGTCTAATTTGTTGGCATATAATTGTTCATAGTATTCTCTTATGGTTTTTTGTATTTCTGTGGTATTGGTTGATATTTCTCCTTTTCCATTTCTTATTTTGTTTATTTGGATTCTCTCTCTTTTCTTCTTAGTGAGCCTGGCCAGAGGTTTATCAATTCTGTTTACCCTTTCATAGAACTAGCTCTTGGTTTTATTGATTTTTTCTATTTTTTTAATCTCTATTTTATTTATTTCCTCTCTGATCTTTAGTATTTCCTTCCTTCTTCTGACTTTAGGTTTGGTTTGTTCTTTTTCTAATTATTTTAAGTGGTAGGTTAGGTTGTTCATTTGAGATTTTTCTTGTTTTTTGAGGAAGGCTTGTATTGCTAAGAACTTCCCTCTCAGAACTGCTTCTGCTGCATCCCATAGATTTTGTATGGTTGTATTTTCACTGTCATTTGTCTCAAGGTATTTTTTAATTTCCTTTTTGATTTCCTCATTGACCCATTGGTTTCTTAGTAGCATGTTGTTTAGTCTCCATGTAATTGGTTTTTTCCTCATTTCTCTTCCTGTGGCTGATTTCTAGTTTCATGCTGTTGTGGTCAGAGGAGATGCTTGAGATGATTTCTATACTGTCAAATTTGCTGAGGTTTGTTCTGTGCCCTAGTATGTGGTCAATCCTAGAGAATGTTCCATGTGCACTTGAAAAGAATGTGTATTCTGTTTTTTTTTCCCCCCTTTGGATGTAAATATCCCTGAAAATATTGATTAAGTCTAACTGTTCTATTGTATTACTTAGGATCTCTGTTGCCTTATTGGTTTTTCTGTATAGATCTGTTCATTGATGTGAGCAAGGTGTTAAAGTCTCCTACTATTATTGTATTCCCATCAATTTCTCCCTGTATGTCTGTTAGTGTTTGTTTCATGTATTTGGGTGCTCCTACATTAGGTGTATATATGTTGATGATCATAAAATCCTCTTCTTGTACTGATCCTTTTATCATTATATAGGGTCCTTCTTTATCTTTCTTTATGGCCTTTGTTTAAAAGTCTATTTTGTCTCATATGAGTATTGCAACCCCTGCTTTCTTGTCGTTTCCATGTGCATGAAATATCTTTTTCCATCCCCACACTTTCAATCTATGTGTGTCCTTTGCACTAAAGTGGGCCTCTTGTAGGCAGCATATTGTAGGTACTTGTTTTTTTATCCAGTCTGCCACTCTATGTCTTTTGACTGGAGCATTTAGTCCATTGAAATTTAAGGTAATTATTGATAAATGTGTACTTATTGCCATTTTAAACCTCACATTCCAGTTGATTCTATGTTTCTTCTTTGCTCCTTTCTTTTTCTTTTTGTTTTTCTTTTTGTGGTTTGATGACTTCCTTTTATTTTATGCGTGTGTTCTCTTCTTTTTGGTTTTTGTGAATCTACTGTATGTTTTTGATTTGTGGTTACCCAGTTTTTCAAGAATGTTAACACCTTTCTATATCTGCTTGCCATAGACTGATAGCCATATAGGCTCAAACACATTCTAAAAACAGGATCTACATTTTCTTACTCTCCTCCCCCACGTTTTAGGTCTTTGATGTCCTCTTTCACATCTTCATGTTTATCTTTTTCTGTTCCTTGTGTACATCATCACTCTCACAAATAGATTTTTTTTTTCTTTTTGATCTGTATCCTGGCTTATTTAAGTGATTTACTTCCCCATTGTGATCTCTTCCTTCCTGTATCTTCTTTCTTCTTTTCCAATTAGAGACGACCTTTCATTATTTCTTTTAGGATAGGTTTTTAAACTATCCTAACTTTTAAAAATTTGCTAGTGAAAAAAATTCATTAGTCGCCAATGCAGGTTGCTGAGCACCAACTTGATATGCTGAAAATTGATGATGATAACAAGGAGAAAGAATCAAGCAGTAAAATAACCCTTGGCCCTAGGCAGCAACTTAACCTCTCAAAGTTCCAGTTTCCTCATTTGTCAAATAATGGTACTAGTAGTGCCTACTTTATAAGAGTTTTGTAAAGATTACATAAAATAATAGCATATGGGATCCCAGGATATTATGAAGTATTGTATGCGTGTTAAAAATAGCTGTTACTACCATGGGAACACTTTCCAAATGAAACAGATCTCTGAAGATGAAACAGACTCCTAGCATCTGGACTGATGTGCTTATAAGACCCTGAGGAGCAATTCAACATTCTCAGCCTCTGATCCAAGCAGCTTACCTAAGGGGTTAAGTGCAGATTCTCTATTCTGATATGATTTGCAACTTCTCCATCAAAACCTATGCTGGGTTACAATTGCTGTAGTTCCTCACTCACCACGGACAGAGTATGCTCCCTAAGGTCCCAGCTAATGGTCCAAGCTGCATGTCCATATACTCCCTGGGGTCTCCTGCATAACAAGGTCCCTGGGGTTTATCATCACTGGAAGAAATCTTGGTCCTTCCAAAAGAATCATTAGAGGGATGGTGGCAATCTAATGGTGGCGACTTATTACCTTGCCTTCCTAGTTAATACAAGAGGCTCCCACAGGACACCTGTATAACCAAGTAAGAAAGCATAGAATACATACTGCTCCTTGCTGAAGGGAGAATTCAGCTCTTACAATCAAAATGAAACATCCAAAGACCTCAGATATGCTCAAAGAGCCAAATGGATCCCAAGATCATAGTTGGATAATTCTGCCCCAAATTTTCGATGAAAGCACTAAGGAGAGGGAATATCTGAGAAGTGAAATTCGGGAGCAGGTTGTCCAGGAACTAGTGATTTTTTGGGGGGGTAGGGGGGTGGATCCCTGAGAGAGAATACTGAGTACTATCTCATATCCCCAACTCCTGGCCTTGAGACTATTATATAACAAGAATTTAATAAGTGAGGCAGATACCTAGGACTGTCTACCCAGCAACCAACTTCCGGGAATAGCCTGTCTCCTCAACTGTATGACTATCATGACAGTTACCATGTTTTTTCCTTGACCCCATCCCCACCTTGGCTTCTGTTGATTGGTCCTTAACACAACCCAAATCTCTTCTCCAGCATTTTTCAAAGTATAAATAAAATAGTCAATCTTTTGAGTGGCAGGGGCCTTAAGATGAAAAACCTAGGAGTTAACAAAGGCCAGTGTGGAGAAAGCCAGTTTTCAGGGAAATAAAACACAAACAATGGGACTTCCCTGGTGGTCCAGTGGTTAAGAATCCACCTTCCAATGCAGGGGACGGTGGTTCAATCCCTGGTCAGGGAACTAAGATCCCACATGCCACAGGGCAACTAAGCCTGCGCTTCACAACTAGAGAGCCCACGCACCGCAACTAGAGAGCCCACGCACCGCAACTAGAGAGCCCACGCACTGCAACTAGAGAGCCCGCATGCTGCAACGAAAAGATCCCACGTACCGCAACTAAGACCCAATGCAGCCAAAAGTAAATAAACAAATAAATAAATATTTTTTAAAAAACACACAATCAACCCACACAGAGAAGGAATTCCTTGGTGGTCCAGTAGTTAGGATTCAGTCCTCCTATTGCCCAGACACCAGGTTCGATCCCCGGTGGGGGAACTAAGATCTTGCAAGCTGAACAGCAGTGCGAAAAAAAAAAAAAAAATTAAGGACAAATTTTATTTTCAGTATACATATTTATTTTTCAGTAACCCACTTTTAGCAAGTGGTACGGATTTTCCCATATGGTGGTAAACACATTTTCCTTCTTAAGTAAAAGTACACAAGTAAAAGTGAGTCGATGTAAAGAATGTAAAGAAGAATACAAAGACAGATCTGGCAAAATAGTGATTCTCAAATGACTAAAGATTGAGAAATACTGACCTATATTATTTCATCAAATCCCCACCACCACCCTGGGGGGTTGCGGATAAGGAACTTAACCTCATAGAAGTTAAGCTACTTATCCCAGGTCACCAGTTCCAAAGGTAAATGACAGCTCCTGATCTTACAGAGCTTTTATCCATAGGATAGGGACGCATCTGTGATACTGCACAGTATAATGGAGTCCCCTGGAATGTAAGCACAAAGCTGCAGGAACACAGAGAAGTCAGAGAGGAGAAGTGGGAGCTAAGAAAGGCTTCACCAAGGAAGTGAAATGGAAATTGGGTTTTGAAGTATTTTCCAACCAGGGAAAATTAATTTTAAGTGAGATAGCAGGCACTTATCAAGTACTCAATAAATGGTAGTGGCGGTTTGTAATGCTTTACATACATTCCACTTTCTTCCCATTGATTTGCTTTAGAAAGTGCAAACCGTCTTCCCTCTGTTTTTCATCTAATTCTGCCATATATGTTCTTCTCATAAGAAACTGGTACTTTAAAATCAGGCCCATCTCAGGCCAGTGTTTGGAATGAAGTGAGAAGGTGGGATAAATTAAGCATTGCCAAAGTAGTGTAGGCAAACTTTGATGATGCCAGACCACTGGGAAGACCCAGGTTTGAGGGCTGACTCTGCCACTTGCCAGCTATGACCCAATCTCATATTCCATCAAATGGCAACAACTACATGGACCTACATGGTTGCTTAGAACAGTGGTCTCCAAGTTTTATGGTTACACAGTCTATCAATAAAAATATTTGGGACACATATACTCCCATCTGGATATAGTTATTTAAGTTGTTCTACTCTGCTAATATAGTATGTATATTATAAAATACATATGAAAATGAAATAAAGTCATAAACATTTAGTTGGTGCTTAAGAAATACTTACTGAGGAATGAATGAACAAACAGATCACTTAACCTCAGGTTTCCTCATATGTAGAATGGAGATAATTATACTGCACATATCTCGTGTTGTTTTGAGGATAAAATAAGCTAATATGTAAGAAAGCGCTTCCTAAACTGTAAAAAAAAAAGGGAGTAAAATGTTAATTAATATCCTTCAAAGAGCTGTTAAGTAGCTTACGTTTAAAAAAAAAAAATTCTTCCAGAGAAACTTATAAAAGGAAGCCATATAAACTCTGTTGAATAAAGGCAGTTTCCTTTGTTGGAATAAAATTTTATCCTGCTAGTTAATGTAAACCAAATCCTATTGGTCAATCCCAAAATTCTCTCCCAAGGCCATCCCAGAGAATGCTGTTTGTGTCTTTCATAAACTGAGTACCTTTGGATAAGTCAAGTAACATCTCTAAAATTCTGTATCTTATCTGTAAAATAGGGATAGCATAGTATCTACACAACTGACTTGTAGAAGAATCAAATGTGATGAAGCATGTGATGTTTTTAGCATCATGCCTGGCACAGAGTAATCACTCTGCAAGAATTATAGTAATTATGATTACTATTATGATTATTCTCAAGTTAATAAAGTCATTCAGCAGTGTAGTAATTCCCTAAGGTAGTATTATTCAGATTGAATATGCACACCCCTCAGTAAAATATTTTTTACCACACTCCCCTAATACATGTTTATTTATTTATAAATTATATTCATGTACTTTTGTGCATCACACAAATATCAAAAATAAACATTTTAAAGAATGAATTTCTAAAATACATATAATTTGAAGTTCTCCTATTTTCTTCCCCATACCAGATGTCTTGCACATCCCCTGGGCAGCGAGCTCACCCACTTCTAAGACCCCTATCCTAAACAGCTCTGCAACATTCGGCTGAATCTGCAAGAAACCTTAAAGATGCCACAAAATTCACAGAAGACAGAGGACTTTGAACACACATGAATTTCACATTGAAATTTACACATTTGGGGAGTATTTTTCAAGATAAAGGGAATCCCCACTTCAAACCAACAACTTTGGAGTGTCATAACTCCAAAAATACCATGGAAGAAATATCAGAGCTAGACTGGTCTGCCATGTTCAGCCACCATCTTGGGGCCCACACTTTGCAGAACCGCCTCTGCAGAGCACAGCTGTGTGGAGACAGGAAGTCAAGAACCAATGGCCATTTATTTCGCCAGTGGGACCACAGGCTCTCCCAAGATGGCCCAGCACTCTCAGAGCAGCCTCGGAATTGGGTACACCCTCTGTGGAAGGTAGGCAGGAAAACTGTTTTTTTTTAATTCTCCCCTGAACTACCAGCATGTGTATCCAGTCGCCTAGCTGGCACCTCTACTTAGATATCTCCAGTGAAACATCTACAAAATAGAACTCAATGTCTTAGCTCAGTAAATGATACCATCTAACCAACTGATCAAGCAAGAACTTAGGAACTGACCTTGATTCAATCCCCACAGCAGCATGTCTGGCTCCTTCTCCTTTTGGCCAAGTAAATTTACCCACCCAGAAAGGCCTAAAACTATCATATTACTGTATTTTCTTTCTTACTGAGTGACCATGAGATGAGCACATGTTAATGGACGAGAATAAGAGGTTGTAGACATCACCTCCAGTCATGACCTTTAATTAACCACTGCTGACATCTGTGTCTTTCTCCATCATCCAGCCGCTTACCACTTATACCATCACGACCCTGTGTAGCGCTCCCACTGTGTACTGGATGCTTGTGCAAAAAGACCTTAAGAGGTATTTGGGCAGAAATCTCCACTTGAACCACAAACAAAAGGTATAATCCAGCATCACAGATCTCCCTTTTTCAGCACAGGATAGCCCAGAGTTTCTCAGTCTCGCCACTACTGACATTTTGAACCAAATAATTCTGTGTCATGGAGTGCTGTCCTGTGTTTTGTAGCATGTTGAGCAGCACTCTACCTGGCCTCTACCTACTATATACCAGTAGCACCTCCCTCTCCACCAGTGATGATGACCAAAAATGTCTCCAGACATTGCCTAGAGTCTCCTGGGGGGCAACCCACCCCCCGCATCCCCAGTTTAAGAATCACTGGGAAAGCCTCTAAGGGCAACTGAACATTTTTTCAGAGACAACCAGAGCTCTACAATCCCAGCACTCCCATCATCCCCACCCTAAAAGAACCCACAACTACATTTATACTGTCTTGAAGTTAAAGTCTTATGACTTGAAGCTTATATTCAACTTAGCCAAATCACCTGAACATTAGGTGAAGTTACGAAGTATATTTATTTAACTAATATGAATTCAATACATAAGAAGAGAAAGGAAGAGAGAAACAATTTAAGTCATCACAGTCACCCCCTTCTCCCCTAAACGTGGATGCTTCAAAGCCAAAACAAAACAAACGGAAAAAGGACATCCTTTGTTTCCCCAAGGTGTAGACATCTAGGAGGGAGAATTCTATGAGAAACAGAATAAAGCAGATATGAATCTTCTCTTTTCCTGATCAACTCCTTGTGGCCCTCAGAATGTGAACATCTTGCTCACATTTCAAGATTAATTCAAGGGCTATTCTATTTTGAATAGACACAATTCATGTCCTACCAAACCCTACTACCCATTTTGGGGCTCATTCTATCGGTCGGGCTGTTCCAAGCTTTCTCACCTCAGTCCTCTTGGGCAGCTGAGTAGTAAGACACTGGTTAAAAGCTCAAGCTCCAAAGTCAAACAGGCAGGGCTCTGCTACTTTCTAATAGTGGACCTGCCTTACCTCCATCCATAAGAGATAGTTAAGAGCTACCTCACGAGGTCCTGGTAAGAATTCAATGTCAGGAGCACGTGTGGTGAGTGAGATACTTGACGAGTGGTAAGTGCAGAGTACAGATTATTCAACTCTGTTCTTTATTATTTGGGAGACCTTGGAAGAGTTCTTTAACTTTTTTCAGCCTCAATGTCTTCACTTATAAAATAGGGTTTGTGAAGATTATGAGAGTGCTCCAAAAACCCTTGTAACATAAAAAATGTTCAATTAATATTAGCTGCCATATTTCTTGGCTCATAATAAGTGCTTAATATCCTTATTAGCATTTTCTCCAACCTTTTCCTCTCTTGAATAACCTGCTAAAATGTAAACTCCACCAGTAATCTGTCTTCATCATAACATGCCCCACGTGCCTAGAACAATGTCTGGCAAGAGAGTAGGTGCTCAACAAATATTCACTGAATGAACTTTCCTAAGGCTTGCCTCTCCTAGCTCTTTGCTTGTTGCTAATGTCCTAGTTATCTGGCAATGAAAGCCACTCATATTTCTCTCCCCAAAGACCCCATGCAACTCTCTCTTCAGATGTAAATTCAAGAAGCTGCCGCATTGCCTGATGGGAGGGGAGCCACTCAATCCAGAGTTGCTGGAACAGTGGAAAGTGCAAACTGGGCTAATGCTGTACAAGGGCTATGGACAGACAGGTGGTATATTTAATGGACAAAGCTTAAGTTTACCCCTTCAACCCCAGGACTGCCAACTGAGCCCCTGAAGTGCTCCCACCATGCTCTAAATGGTGATGGTGTTTCCCAAAACTTCTAAATTGCCTGATTAGGTTTGACTGAAGGGGAATTATGATTATTACTCGGTATTCCTGCCTCCTCCTCACACAGGATAAGTCTCAGAGGTGTTAGGGGTTGAAGAGGTTCAGAATTGAGTAGCTCATCTTTCCAGTGCACTGGGAAGGACCCCAGAGAGCCCCAGTGGGGAGTTACAAGGTACACTTAATGGCACTCTTAGTCAAAAGGAGTGATTTTCAAAGTGTGGTCCTCAAACCAGCAGTATCAGTAGCACACAGGAATTTGGCAGAAATACAAATTCTAATACCCCTGCCCCTTCCCTGACCTACAAATGAGAAACTGGGATGGGGCCCAGCAATCTGTGTTTTAACAATGCTCCAGATGACTCTGATGCACACTCGAGTCTGAGAACCACTTTTCTCAGATAATGTATTTCAGAAGATGAGACTGAATACCAGGAAAATCAGTCAAAGCTGGGTCTTGGATTTCATTGTCATGATATAGCTACAGAAAATGAAATTTTACATAGTTATATAAAACATGTCCTCTTAATAAGGAATAATTTGTGCCAATCAGAAAGGGCAAGAAATTAAACCAGGCTCAGTGGGGAAAGGAGTACTACCCTCTGATGTCCAGGTGGGTAATATCTAACTGGTTCAATAAAGAACCAGTTAAGTGTTCAGCATTGGTCCAAATTCTTGATGTGTCTGAAAAGCAAATCTATCAATATAAATTGATTCTTTTTCCTGCAGGTAGTGAAACCTTTTGTTGTCTTATCTGCACCCTTTAAATCATCCAACCCAGAGAAATTAACTCTTGAACTTCAGGATCATGTAAAAAAATCAACTGCACCTTACAAATATCCAAGAGGCAAGTATTGTGCGCAAAAGTGTGTGTTACCAAATAAGGATCTAAACTAGTAAGTATATAGATTTTATTAGCTTTTGACTTTATAGTAACTCATTATATAAGTAGAAGACACCTGTTTCAACTTTAGCCCTAAGAATTTTGCTTTAAAATATTTTATATTAGGACACTACAAATGTTTGAAGAACTAGAATCTTTGGTCAACTCTGCAATATTAAGTATCCTTATCAGACTAATCAGTCCCATTCCATATGAGGAAAAAAAATTGTTTTTTTAAGACAGCAAATTGTTTTTTGTTTTTTGTTTTTTGTTTTTTTTTGCGGTACCCAGGCCTCTCAGTGTCGTGGCCTCTCCCGTTGCGGAGCACAGGCTCCGGATGCACAGGCTCAGCAGCCATGGCTCACGGGCCCAGCCGCTCCGCGGCATGTGGGATCTTCCCGGACTGGGGCACGAACCCGTGTCTCCTGCATCGGCAGGCGGACTGTCAACCACCGCACCACCAGGGAAGCCCAGCAAATTGTTTTTAAAGACAGCACCTAACTTATCTATCATAGTACTCTTGGGCCATTACACACTCATAAATTCAAAGCATGTGCCTTTAAGTATCAAGTGACCAAATTTAAGGCTCAGGATGAAGATATTATCCAAAGAAACTGTGGAATCTTTCCTGAAACCTTCTTCTTCAAAGGAGGGATTTAAGCATAATTCTGTATAAAGACACACAGATGGCACTGCAATTTCCTTCTAGCCCTAGAATCCTATTAGTTGATATTGACTGATCCTCTACGTGAGAATTCCATTTCCACTGGCATCATTTCAGCTAAAATGTAGTTAATTTCAACCTAAGAACTAGTTACATTTTCTCCATTCAATTCACTAAATTAGTGACTAGTTGCTTTTCAGAAATGTTTGAGGACATTTTAAAATACAGTAGTCATATCCTGAGGGAGAACAAAAGTAGTTCACTGTCAAGTCAGGGCATAAGGGGAAAATTGTATAAACTCAAAATTATCTCTAAAAATCTCCTTGGGAACCTCCAGGACCCAGCTCTTAAAAGGTCAAAAGGCAAGAATTAACTTGGTGTTTCACTTTGCATTTAGTTGTGGCCTCCATTTCACTGGGGCAGTAGAGACCCAGGTCTGGTTCGAACTGGAGGAAAGCAATAGAATAAAGGGATTGTTCTTCTGCCAAAGCATATAGGTGAATTTGCACTAAAAACCAGTATGATGGAGCTCCACTGTCATCTTTATATATAAATGGAAGAGTTTCTGGTGACCAAGGCATCCAATTAGCTTCAGTTAGGACAACACCCAGACCCTGAAACTCAATGCCAGAGTTTCATGAAAGCTCTCCCCTATTATACTGACAGTTGGGAGAGTAAAAATGGAATCAAGTGTCTCATAATATGTTTTTCTGTTGATTAGGTGGAATTTGTTAAAGAACTCCCAAAGACGATCACTGGGAAAATCAAACGCAACGTTTTAAGAGACCATGAATGGGGTTGAACATAGCCTAACAAGAACACTGTGGTATTAAGTAGTTAACAGGGCTGCTTTCTTTTAGTCCTTGTTTTCTGATAATTCAGTGACTACTCTCTTAAAGTGCTTAAGATTTTTCCTGGTTGAAAAATTCAACTGAATTTTTGTTTTGTACTTTGCCAAAAAATAAATAAGTAAAAATCTAAAAATATTTGGGAAGAAAATTGTTACGCGGACCAAACAACAACTTGTAGTGTTTAAAATAGCAGGGCTCAAATGATTAATTAGAAAAGCACAATAGACAATGAATTTATCTACTACCTGATTAATTCAAAATAAAGATTAGAACTATTCTAACAGAAATACTCAAGACAGAATTTCTTCTGCTTAAAATCTTTATATGCTACTAATTCTTTAAGGTGAATTAAAATATTAATGTTAAAGTGAGGAATGTAAAGAATTCAAAAGCCAATTAAGTGAACTTAATTAAGTACTGTACTATACATTTTGAAGCAAACTCACTGTAAAATATCTAATGCTTGAATAAGATACAAAACGCTTAAGAGTTTTTAGTTATTCAAGAGCAATAAATAAATTTTTGTATCTTTACTTTTTGGACAATGTACATGACTTTTGATACATAATTTGACATAAAAACATCTTTTATGATACATCTACTTTATGACAATAAAGCAAGAGATTTACTAAGAGGCAGAAAGAAAAAGGAGAGATAGAGAACACCACTCTTTAGGGAACAAATTTATTTTGATTTTTCTGAAAACATCAGAAACTGAAAAACAAGCTGAATATCTGGCCATACCAAAAGCAAAATAGAAGTAATAATAACATTTAGAAACCATGTTTAACTAAAGGGAAACATGTTTTAAAATATCAAATTTAACACTCTTCCCTCCACAGAGCAAAACAAGTTTTATTAAACCACAACACTGGAGTTTAACTG